AGCATTCACCGAGGGATAGATTTTTTTGGTGGTTGAATTTTTTTTTTGTTGAAATAATTTGATTGGGTAATGGCTGTGCTGATGTGGATGCGTAAGGGAAGGAGAAATTTGAATTCGAGAAGGCTTTTTGGGGAAACCTCTTATTATATTCTTTAGATATTTTAGCTATCATAAAGTAATATTTAGGTGAGAACCTCCATTTTTCAAATAATTTAACTTCATTTATCATGTCATAGTTTCATTTTTTCTTTGGTGAAACAAATTAATCCCTATGTATGGTCCGACTTTTAGAAGTGCTTTTCGGGTTCAAAAGCTGAAACAGGGCCAAACACTTGTAAAAGCTCGGCTTTTGAAAAGCTGAAAAGCACTTTTGTATAACATAAAAGCAGAAGCTCCGATTTGGAGCTTCTGCGAAAAGCTGTTTTGAAAATACAAGATTATCCTTACCATATTTTAATTTTATTTTAGAAAATATAAATTTTCTTCATTTATATCATTTTAAAAATAAAATATATTATAAAATCATATTATTTAATATAAAACAAATCTAACAAGATCCATTTTGACTACTTTTTATTGTTTAGAATTTTTATTCATATTTTATATTATAAGTCCTTTATAGTCATTTTACATAACCTCTTATATTAAAAAGCACTTCTAATAGTTTTACAATCAAACACTCAACTGCTTTTTTTTTAAAAGTACTTATCTAAAAGCTACAACAGGGCCAAACTAAGCTAATATATTAGGGGTCGTTTGGAGAATAAGAGTTTAAACTATAGATTGTCAACAATCTAAAGATTCTGACTCCTCGGATTGTTAAAAATAGATTTTAAAATATTTATTATTTGGTAACTGTGATTGTTAACATTCAAAGAAAATAAAATTTTCAATTTTATATTAAATAACATGTTTATCCTTAATAAGAAATTGGATTGTTTCAAGAAATATTAAAAACTGTGTTGATAAATATATTTAATGTGATAAATAAATAAAAGGAAGAGAAAAAGCAGGTGAAAAAAAATCTCACGAATCAAGATATAGAATCTCTCTAATTATGAGAGATTTTATATCTATAAATTTTAGAGATTTCAAATCTCTAAATCTAAAATCCACATTACATAAAACAACAAAAAAACATGACTTTCTATAAAATCTACGGATTCAACAAATCCATGCCCTGAATCCTGTTCTCCAAACAACCCCTTAGTGGTTTCTCCAAAAAATATATACAAGTATGAGTCTACCTGCTAAATCGCGCCCCAATGTAAAAATATTCGACCTAACCCATAGTCAGTCCTAGTCAAATATATGAAAATCCAACCCGAAGATAAGTTGTGGAGAAATGGATATGCATCAACTAAGACAAACGAAGAGAAAGTTTATTCCGGTAGTTTGGTCGCTACAATCTCTAATACGATATCACAACTAAGGGGTCGTTTGGAGAATATGAGTTTAAATATATAAATTGTCAACAAAACAATCTAAAGATTCTAACTCTTCGGATTGTTGAAAACAGATTTTAAAATGTTTATTGTTTGGTAACTGTGATTGTTAACATTCAAGTAAAATAAAAAATTTAATTCTTATTAAATAACATGTTTATCCTTAATAAAAAAATTAGAGTGGTTCGAGAAATATAAAAAACTTTGTTGATAAATATATTTCATGTGATAAATAAATAAAAGGATGAGAAAAATTAGGAGATAAAAAATCTCACGAATCAAGATATAGAATTCGTCTGATTATGAGAGATTTGATATCCGCAGATTTTAGAGATTTGAAATCTCTAAAGCTAGAATCCACAATACAAAAAGTAACAAAAAAACATAACTTTTTATAAAATCTACGGATTCAGTAAATCCATGTCCTGAATCATATTCTCCAAACGACCCCTAATATTAATACTAGAATTCTAGTACAATATTGAATATTCTCGAAGGAAAATTTATGCAAAATATAATAGAATTTTATTTTAAATATCTTCCATTATGATAGTACTAGTTTGACAGTAAGGCAATTGCTGGGGACCTTACTGAAATTAAGCTAAACTTAGACTACAGAGACTCGGAGAGAGCCACCTTTCGGTGCAAGTTACCCCAAATATACAAGAAATTCGTTGAAAGCTTTCTTCCTCCGGAAAGGAGGGGAGCGAACGACTGTTACTTTGGAGCTTTCGAATAGACTAGTGGAGTCGTTGTAATTCTCCATCTCTTTCTCTCCGCCGTCCCTTCCACGGCGGAATTCCCAATTGAGCCTGGCCTCTCCGTTCGGAAAGGCGCCCTCCCCGTATTTCCACTGTTATAAACGGGGAGGAACGGAAGGTACATGACTGATCGCAAATTCGGAGTGAGCTGAGGAAACAATGGCGGGAGCGGGAGACGTAGAGATGGACGCGGTTTTGAGCGACGTTGAAGGGGAGGACCAACCGGCGGCGACTCTGATCGGAAACATCCACATACCGGAACACGTCCCCGTCGAGAGGTACGCGGAGCTCTCGGCGGAGCTCGATCGGGAGCGGGCGGCTCGACGAGCGGCGGAGGATTCGAAAGAAGAGGCAGTGGAGAAGCTCAATCGAGTCAGGAAAGTTGCCCAGGAGGCAATCCAGAAGCGAGACGAAGCGGAGAGCGAAAGAGACGAGGCGCTGAAATCGCGGGAGAGGATCACGGCGGAGCTGAACGAGGTCGCGGAGCAGAGAGACGAGGTTGCCAGGCAGCTGGACGGAGCGATGAGAGCGAGGGATTCGCTGCGGCTGGAGATGGAGAATTCGAGGCATTTGCTGGTGAGTGGAATTGAGAAGATATCTGGCAAGCTGAGCGAGTACATGAATTTCGCGGCGACGGGCGGCGGCGGATTGCCCAAGTCGCCCAAGTACAGTGGAATGCCGGCGGTTGCTTATGGAGTTCTCAAGCGGACGAATGAGATTGTGGAGGAGCTGGTTAAGCAGATTCATGCCGCGAACCGGTCGGGAAACGATGCTAGGGATCAGATCGAGCAGCGGAATTTCGAGATTGCGATTGAGGTTTCCCAGCTCGAGGCCACCATTGGCGGGCTGAGACGGGAATTGGAGGGTAAAACGGCGTTGATCGGGGAGTTGCAGAAAGCGGTGGCGGAGAAGGAAATCATGGCGTCTGAAATTGAGAGAGGGATGTGGGACAAGGCGCAGTTGGAGGATAAATTAAGGGATTTGGAAACTAAATTGGAATGTCTAAAGCCTTTGCTGATCGATCAATCGAATTTCTCCTGGAAAATTCACGAGCAGTTATTTGGTGCCATGAAGATCGTTGATAAGAACTATCAACGCCATGAAGTGCCTGCGTCCTTATTTTTCCAAGAACAGAAGGACATAGGCGAGAACCTTAGCGCTTCATTAGCAGGGATGAAATCTATCTATGAGCTAACCAGAGTTGTGGGCGAAAAGACAAAGGGTGTGATTCAGGTCAAGGATCATGAATTGAAGCGTTCAGCTGAAACAGTAGGTCAGTTGGTCAGGGAGAAAGAGCATATTAGTTATCTGCTCAGGAGTGCTTTGTCAAAGAGACCCACTTGGGATCCATCTTCCAAAGCAAACGACCTGTTTCAAGCTGCAGAGAATGGTTTGAGAGATGCTGGCATAGATTTCAAATTCAGCAAGTTTCTGGGAGATCACAAGTTTACAGCTTCTCCTAGAGAGAATGGTGGTGGGAGCTTGGCAGTGGACCCAGAAGATGGCGAGATATACACCCTGGTAACAAGCCTTAAAATACTGATTCTAATCATCTTTGATCACAGTTGCTTCTTTGTCGTCTAATCTGTTTGCCCTTGAATCCTTATTTTGTTCTAATAAAAGGCGGGTGCTTTGGAGAAAGTCGTTAAGGCTTCTCAGCTTGAGATCATCGAGTTGCGGCATTGTGTGGAGGAACTCAGGTACTTCCCTTTGCAGAAAGTTTTAAAAGTTCATGTATCTCTGTAGTTAGGTGCTAACGCTGTAAGTATGGTTCCTCATTGCTTTTGTTAAGGAATGAATCAAGCTCGCTAAAGGAGCAGATAGACATCCAAGCTAAGGAACTAAGTAGCAGGATGCGTAGGATAGAGGAGCTTGAAGAGAAACAAAGAGCAACAAATGAAAATGTACATCTTCTGATGAACATTTGATATATGAAAGGGGTGCTCAAAATATGAGCTAGTTGGACATGAAATTGTGTTGTTGTTTCGCAGATTGAGGGTTTGCTTATGGACATAACTGCAGCAGAGGAAGAAATTCGGAGATGGAAAGTAACAGCAGAACAGGAGGCTGCGGCAGGTCATGCGGTAGAAAAAGACTTTGCATCTCAGGTAATAAAAGTTGCCAGTTAGTAGTCTGGCTGTAAACACAGTGAAATATGCATATAACAATGAATAAAGGGCGTAGACTAAAATGCTTCTGCTTGCAGTTATCAACACTTAAGAAGGAGGTAGAAGAAGCAAAGCAAGCGACATTAGAATCAGAGAAGAAGGTGAAGTTGAAAGAAGAGACGGCAGCTGCAGCCATGGCAGCGAGAGAGGCTGCTGAGAAGTCATTGAGATTGGCTGACGTAAGAGCATCCAGGCTGAGGGAGAGAACAGAGGAGCTCAGCCGTCAACTTGAAGAGTTTGAAACCAGAGAAGAAGCCAGTGGCGACCGAAGTCGAAAATATGTATGCTGGTGGCCTTTTTCCCAGTGGCCAGGCTTGAATCTTGTAGCAGGAACACATGCCAATCATGAAACATACAACAGCTCTTCCATTTCATTGGAAGAGCTTTCTGAACCCCTCATATAAATCATCAATACACACACCGCGTGCGTTAATCGATTGCTATCATCTCTCTCTCCTTCCCTGCCTCTCTTTTCTACTGGTGAGTTATACTTATTATTACACCTTTGATGTTTTACCTTAAATCGTATGCATTCACAAATGAAATGAAGAAATGGAAGCTTACAGGCGGTTTTGTCCCCAAGATTTTGTTCAATAAAAACTGGTGTGAAGTGAAGTCTAGAGCATCTTGAATAAAAGATTGGATGGGTCAAGGGAGTCGAGGAAATCTCGAGAAGTCCGGTGGCCTTCGTTCCATATATGCTGTCTTCCCTTCATTGCCTTCTTCAGTACGGTAGAATATGTGCGTTGCATTCCCAGCAAGCTCCTGCATTACCAGAGAAAGAGAGGTAAATAAGTTGGAATGCGCATCGGACAAATTAACATAGAAACTTGAGGCTTAAGAAACCTGGAGTCCAGCATGGCCATCATCAACAGCATTGAGAGCTGACTTCAGAATTCGAATCGCAGTAGGACTGTTCCTAAGTATCTCTCGACACCATTGTACTGTTTCCTGCTCCAACCTATCCAACTGCAAGCAAAGAAGACAAGTGAGGCTGGCAATTGGAGTGAAGAGGACAAGGTCTTAAAGAACTCACTGGGACAACTGTATTAACCAGCCCCATTCTCTCAGCTTCTGAAGCTGAGTAGAACCTCGCCAGAAACCACATCTCTCGAGCCCTTTTGGGGCCAATCTGCGAGGAAACAAACTCAAAACGGATTAACATACTTAGAAGGAGACCTGAGATGTTGGAAGCAATGGAGCTCAAGGATTCTTTACCAGACGGGACATGATGGAGCTTCCATATCCACCGTCGAAACTTCCTACCTGTCATCACAAACACACAAACAATGTCCTGCCTGAACTCAGGATACGTCAATCCCAAACTCAATCAGGAGTCGACAAAAGTCGGTTTTCAGCCTGTCACGGGTACCTACCTTCGGACCAGTCTGGCCGAACACAGCATTGTCAGCTGCGATCGTGAGATCGCAAACCATGTGCAACACATGGCCTCCTCCCACAGCATACCCAGCAACCTGAATTGAGTTTTCACCCAACAAACATATATACAATCAATGGAAGAAAGAAAGAAAAGAATTGTAGATTCGGCATAGCAAGACCAGTAGCAAATGTACCATTGCTATTACGGGCTTGGGAAGCCGCCGAATCTGGACCTGCTCAACAAGAACAAGCAAGAGGCAGTGTTAAAGCTCCAAACATTTTTCCTAGAGCAGTTTCAAATGGCTGTGGAGTGGCTGGCTACCTGCAAGTCAAGAACATTGAGACGGCCGGTATCGTTGGGATCAGCGTAACCATCTTTGGTCCTCAATGCTTGGTCCCCGCCGCTGCAGAATGCTTGTGTTCCCTACATCCCACGGTTTCTTTCTCCGATTCAGTTCGACAAAAGTAACAGAAGCCCGGCGAATTCAATGGAGGTTGGAGTCAGGATTTTTACCTTTCCGGTGAGAATTATAACCCCGATGGAGGTATCGTCTCTGGCATCATCGAACGCCCGAATCATCTCCTTCACCGTTAGCGGCCGGAACGCATTTCTCCTTTCCGGCCTGTTAATTGTAATCTGAATCGAAAGGGGGAAAAGTAAGGAGAGAATCAGAGCCCCTCAAATTAGTAGTTCTTTGCAGTTTACTTAAAAATTAGAAGAAGAAAATAATCATATGAAATCAGACCTTGGCGATCCCTTCGCCGACTGCTTTCTCGTATATGATGTCGGTGAACTGCTGCTCATCAGCGATTCTCCAGGCGGCTTCTGCCGTCGACACTTGGCCGTGGATTCTGTGGTAGCTGTCTCTCATGGAAGTGGTGTGTAATCCGATGATGGGGCTGCTGGAGCTCGAAGCCGGAGTTGAGAACAGAGGATTGACGTGGTTGGCCACTGCTGCCACTCTCCTTTTCATGCTGTCCACTTCCTTCTCCGAGATTGGCGCCATTTTTTTGAGGAGATTCTTACGAAATTGCCAACTTGCTCCGGCGAAATGTGCCCAGACCTGGGAAGTCGGAGACCATGGCGGGTTCAGCGCCGACGGTGGCCTTTTTTGAAAGGGAGAAGATAGATTGGATAAGATAAGGCGAATCCGAATTGCGTCCGTATTCGAGTAAGCTAAAGCAATACAGTGTCGTTTCCCAAATAAAGTAGGTTTTTTGGAGAGAGAATTGTGCTAACCCTAAGACTAACTCCAACCCATAAAGGGGAATTTAGCTCCCCAAATAGCCAAATATGGCTTTTTAGCTCCCCAAACTCACTTTTCACTCCAACCCTATAAAAAGCTAAATTTAGCTTCCCATTTCCCTTTTTCAATTTATTTCAATAAACCATACTTATTTGACCTCTAATTTTTATATTTCACTTTAATTTTTTCATAGCTCGTTATTAGTTTTGAATACAAATTTTTCGATGTAATTTTTTTTAAATTCCGAGATAATTTTTTTTTCAAAAATTAGTCGTTAAAATATTACCGTTAAAACTTCGGGACCACTCCAAATATGACCGTTTTTTTGTATCCGTTACTTTACCACTGTTTTTTTGTCATTTTTTGCACCAAATGTCTTTATAAATGACAGTTCTTCATTTTCATCAACTCAACTAAAACTTCTTCCCATTTCTAAAACAAACACATTCATCATGAGTATCTCAGATAGCTCATCGTCTGGAGAAGAAGAAAACGAAGAGTACGAAAGGTTTCACCACCTACGTTTGAGTTTGATCGGTCGGAGGCTGGCTGAAGGTGCATCAAGTCGGCGTCAAACTACAAGCCGACGTCACATTGATCGTGAGAGGGTCGAATGTAATCGACGTCTTATGAGGGATTACTTCGATCCAAATCCAGTATACAATGCTCGCATATTCAGAAGGCGCTATCGGATGCAGCCAAGATTATTCCATCGCATTATGGGCGACATTGTGAGGTTTGACCCCTCATTTGCTCTAAGGCGTGATAGCTTTGGTCAATTGTCACTATCTCCAGAGCAGAAGCTTACTGGTGCGATGCGCATGCTAGCATATGGTTCTCCAGCTGATCAACTTGATGAGTATGTTCGTATGGGTGAGAGCACTTTGATGGAGGTCTTCAGAAAGTTTTGCAACAACATTATCAACATGTACGGGGCCACATACCTTCGCGCACCTACTCCTGCTGATTTAAGGATCTTACTCCGTAAAGCCTCAAGTCGTGGCTTTCCTGGAATGATTGGATCAATTGACTGCATGCATTGGGAATGGAGGAATTGTCCAAGTGGTTGGGCAGGACAATACACCGGCCACATGCATAGGCCAACAATCATTCTGGAGGCGGTGGCCTCCTACAACACATGGATATGGCATGCTTTCTTTGGGACACCTGGATCGAACAACGATATAAATGTTCTGGGGATGTCTCCAGTGTTTGATCGTATCGTCAATGGAAGCGCTCCACATGTACGATTTGAGGTAAATGGTCATGCTTATGATCAATGTTATTATTTGGCTGACGGTATTTATCCCTCATGGTCGACTTTAGTGAAGACCTTCAGCAATCCAAGGTCAAACAAAGAGGCTTTGTTTGCTCAACATCAAGAAGCACACCGCAAAGATGTAGAGCGGGCATTTGGAATCCTCCAAACAAGATGGGCAATTGTTCGTGGCCCTGCAAGAGCTTGGGATGTTGTCACACTTAACAATATAATGCTGACGTGCATTATATTACACAACATGATAATCGAGGATGAGCAGGTTGATTCTGATGACGAGATGGATGATGACCTTGATTATGAGATCCATGCACAACCTGAACCAATCAACCTACACCAATCAACTCTAATTGATTACTTGGCTAGAAATAACAGGCTTCGCTCATCTACAACACATCATGCGCTTAGAAATGACTTGGTTGAGCATCTTTGGAATTTGCACGGCAATATCTAGCATTGTTTTATTTCATGTTGCTTGGTTGTTTGTATTTCAAGTTTCAGTGTGTGATTGTATTTCATGCTGCTTGGTTGTTTGTATTTCAAGTTTTGAGTGTGTGATTGTATTTCATGTTGCTTGGTGTGTTTGTATTTCAAACTTTCAATAACACTTGTTTTTATTACACATGGAATTGCTCAAAGTTCAAAGAGTACACATGACACATGAAAATAACAAAGTTGAAAGAGAACACACAACACATTAAAGATGTAAAGACAATAGAGTACAAATAGGATCTTCTTCTAATTAATAATCCATGACAGGAAAGTAATCGACATCTCCTCCACCACTTTCATCGCCATCTCCTCCACCACTTGCATCGCCATCTCCATCTCCGCCATCACTTGGATAAGAGTTGGGATCATCTTGATCGTACCCATAAATGTCATTTTGTTTACGCCTCCAAAATCTCTTCTTTCTTGGTGTCATCTTTGACAAATCCTTCTCTAGAATAGCTACATTTTGTTGAAGTATTGCAGCTTCCCTCTCTTTCTTCTCCACAGCCCACTTTTCCGCTTCACGCTCCCTCACTTGCCTCTTGTATGCCCATTCCTCTTTCTCCTGCTCTAGTCTCCTCTCTTGAACATTCATTTTTCTGTTTTCATACTCCATCCTCGACTTTTGTCTCTCTCTCATATCATTACCAAACTCTAGCAGTTGAGTAGTGTATATGTCTGACGATTCAGCAACTACCTTACCTTTCTTCTTTGCTGCCTTTTGTTTGTCGCGTCCTTCAGGGCGAGTCAACACGAAAGGCGTAGCTCCTTCATCTGGTAAGTCATCAAGGCCTTCCACGGGAGATGATTGAGAACCAAAACCTGTGGGAGAACTTTGGGAACCTTGCCCCATAGGTGGAATGGGACTAACAAGTAGGTCAGGATTGGAGTACCACTTTGGAAAATTTCGGAGAATTTCGAAACAATGCTCAAAATCAAAAGCCTTGTTCCCATTCTCTTGCTTATATATTGCTCTTGCCTCCTTTTCCTAATAAAATATGTAATACATGGGTTAGAGAAGTTTATATTGACACATATAAAAATAAGAAAATACACAAGTTGAGGGTCCGAAAGAATACCACATCAAACTGGTTCGTGCCACTCGATTGATGCCTTTGTGCTCTTTGCAAAACTCCCTTCCAAGCATTGCAGTGATAGCAAATAATCCTCATTCGGGATTCCATTGCAACAGCAGTACGAATTGTAGTAGGATCCCATTTTTGATGTTCTGCCGCCACTCTTTCCCACAACCTTGTATACTTCTGGTTGGTGCCAACCGCTCCATCTTCTGATATCGACACCCAAGCTCTGCACAAGATTTCATCTTCATTCGGACGCCAATTAGGTCCTCTCTTGCCTGTCATATTCCTATTTTGAGAGACGATAACAATTGAATTTTGAGAGAATGCGATTTATGCTCTGAGAATGAGTGAAGAGAAATCTATGAAGAGTGCTGTAATATATAAGAAAAAATATGGCCGTTAAAATATGACCGTTTTTTCGTCACTACATCAATTATTTCAAATTTATATTTCAAATTGAATCACAAACCACCAATGAGAATAGAGGAAAAAAATCCAAAACATATTGGCTCCCCAAATTCCCAACCAACAAAAGTTAAAAGAAAAAAAAAAAGGATAACAGGTCAGCTGGAAGGAGAAGGGCGCCAGGCGCGCGTCCGGCGCCTTCTCCTTCCAGCTGACCTGTTATCCACTTTTTGGCAGCCAAATATCACTCCCCACCCCAAAACCCAGCCATATTTCCCTTCCAAAAACCCAATACCCATTTTTGGCTTCCCATTTTTTTGTGGGTTGGAGGAAGAAAAAAAGCCAAATATGGCTTTATAGCAATTTGACACCATGGGTTGGAGCTAGCCTAATAGATTAAATGAGGTGCTATTTGCCGCCCTAATATTTACTATTTGACCCCATCCGACGAACGGCGGTGGACCCCGTCCGATGAACGCCGGCGGACCCCGTCTGATGAACGCCCAGCGACCGTCGACGTCTGCACCATTTTCGTCCCGTCCGACACGGGCAATCGAAAATAAGTGATTATTAATTAATTTCATTTTTTTGGTGAAATTATTAACTATTTCCTTAAATAAAACCAAAATTTATTATGTAAATATTGATATATGGATGACCAATGACCTACCACATTAGATACTCACTTGGGAGTTACATGTCGCATGTGGGAATTAGAATGTACAATACTAAGAAGGACAATTACAAAATGGAACTCAACACTTTTAATTATGTCATAAGTAGTAATGGCTACAGAAAACATATCCCTAAAAATCGAAAGACTAGGAAAATAGTTAGATGACTATCAAGGAATCATAATACGATCGCTTGAAGAAAATAATAAACATTAAAGAACAATGTTAGAAATTCAAATCAATGGAAAACAAAAGGAATTATATAATGACCTAGAAATAGCAAAAAATCTAATAAATAATATCATATTACAAATAAAAGACAGGGAAAATTATTGAAAGTTCCAATGAAATATTACCAGAAGAAAATCTTAAAGAAATAATAACAACACTACAGGAAATAATATTAAAATTAGATAACACGAAATATCTTACTATTGAAGATATGAAAGAATTTTTAAAGGATCATAAAAACCCTGGAAAACTCACAATTATTGAACCTTACCTAATATGACAACTATTGATGAGAATATAAATAAATTAAATGATTTACTAATGACCTTAAGTATTGAACCAGATAACGAAGACCACATTGAAAATGATAAAGTAGTACTAGACTATAATAGTGATGAAAATCCATATACAAATTATATGAAAACAGAAAATAACCCAGGAGAAACATCCAACCCATCTAAATCAAATAAAAGATGATTTAATGATTATAATGACGGTCAAATGAATTTTGACGAATATCTTTATAAAAATCATTTTGCTCCTCGTAGGGGGGAGAATGGACGAAAATTCCTCACTCATATATTCCTAAATACTCTACAACAAGTTATAATAGTTCAGATATTCTAGATTTAGACTGTAGTACTAATCCATTAAAAGAATTAGAAGACTGAAAAAATCGAACATGATTATTAATTCAAACTAACGAGGAATTAAGAAAACTTCAACCTAGTGAAATATTTATTACTTAATATACAAACCACTGGAGCAGTTTATCACTATTTAAGTGCAATGGATATTCCTGCAAAAACAACCCTATATGGGGATGACGCTATAAAAACTTTTGAAAAAATATTAAATGCTTTAACCTATGAATTTCTAGGAAGATATCCAAGAGAAAAAGAAACTAATGCAACTATGAGTAATCGGGCTATTTGGCACCTAACTAACTTAAGAATCTGCAATATGTGTTATTTAGAATCATTTATTTGCGAATTTAAAATACATTATTATCAGGTTATTCCGTCAGTAAGAAAAGACTTAGATAAATTATTCTTTTCTAAACTTCCTTTAATAGTAGCACAAAAAGTAGAAACTGCTTTTAATGAAGCAGTTCAAAAGGAAGAAGTACCAGATACATTAAGAGGACGAATTCTAACATTACAGGAATGGCATAAACGAGCCTGTAATGAAGAATAACTAAAAAAGCAAGCTAAAATTGACCTCTGCTGTGAGGTCTCCACCGATAAAATCGGAAAATACGGATGTAGTGATCAACGACCAAAAATAAAGAAAAAACGGAGATACGATAAATACAAAAAAAGGCGAAAAATACCCTATAAGGAATATAGAAAAAATAGATATAGAAACCCTAATAAGTATTTTAGAAACAGAAAAAAATTTAAACAGAAAACTAGTCAGAAAGATTATTGTCCTAAAAGCAAAACTAATTGCAGATGCTGGCTCTGCAATGAAGAAGGACATTATGCTAATAAATGCCCAAAGAAAAACACTAATAATAAGAAGCAGGAAGTTCTAAGGATAGCATATGATTGTGGATTCGAACCTATAGAAGAAACAGATTTTGAACTATCAGACATAGAAATTATTGAATATCTTACAGATTTAGAAATATTTTCAGATGAGTCAGAAGAAGATTCTAGCTAAAAATAACCCGAACGCAACATTCATAAAAGTTACTATTGAAAATAAGAATCTTCTGGCATATATAGACACAGGAGCAACACTGTGTTTTGCAAAAAGATCGACCATTAGAGTTTGGGATAAATTAGATAAACCATTAAAAATTATCGTTGCAGATAAATCTATCCATGAAATCTGGTATGTAAAACATTACGTGCCTATCATTATAGAACAATATGTATTTACTGCCGAAACAATATATCTTCATGATTCAGGATTAGACATAATAATAGGAAATAATTTTCTTAAACTATATCAACCATTTACTCAAAGAATTAAGAGTATAAGTCTAAAAGCTCCAAAAATGAAAAATCAAGAGTCAAAAATCGTTACCATCAAGATAATAACAAAAAATGAAGTATTAAGAACTGTCTTACAAAGACTTAAAAATAAGCTTGAATATATCCAAGTAGCCTACGGAATAGTTGAAGAAAAACTAGAGGAAGTCTGTAGTGAACACCCTTTAGATAATACAAAAAATACAAATTCAGAATTAATAGAAATTAAACTAAAAGATCCAAATATCGAAGTTAATGTTCCTAATAAAATACAATATACTCAAAGAGATGTAGAAGAATTTCTAGTAGAATGTGGAGATTTACTCAGTAAAAATATTATTCGAGAAAGTAAAAGTCCGCATAGTGCTCCGACATTCTATGTAGAAAATAATAATGAAATTAAAAGGGGAAAAAGACGTATGGTAATAAATTACAAAATACTCAATGAACACATTATAGGAGACAGTTATAAATTACCAAGAAAAGATTATATTCTGGAACGATTGAAAGGACAAACTTGGTTTAGTAGCCTAGACGCTAAATCAGGATATTGGCAATTAAGGCTCCATGAAAATACAAAACCCTTAACAGCTTTTTCATGTCCACCACAAAAACATTATGAATGGAATGTGTTACCATTTGGAATTAAGCAAGCCCCAGGAATTTATCAGAGATTTATGGATAAAAATCTAGAAAGATTGGAAGATTTTTGTTTAGCATACATTGATGATATTATTATCTTTTCAAATAAAGATAGGATAGATCATGAAGAAAAACTAATAAAAGTCTTGGAAAGACTAAAAGAAAAGGGACTGATAATTTCAAAAAAGAAATCTAAATTGTTAGTCAATGAAATTGAGTATTTGGGAATGAAAATAAATAGTACAGGAGAAATAGAACTAACCACTAATGTTAAGGAAAAATTAGATAAATTTCCAGATAGAATGGAAAATAGAAAACAAATACAACGATTTCTAGGAAGTCTGAATTATATCAGTGAACAGGGATTTCTAAAAAATCTAGCAAAGGAAAGAAAATATCTTCAGCAAAAAATATCAGATAAAATACCTTGGAAATGGGATGATAAGGACACAGAGGTGGTAAGATTTATGAAGGCCAGTTGTGATCATTTACCAAAATTATATAACCCATGCGATCGAGATTTTCTTATTGTCGAGACAGATGCATCAAGGGATACATGGGTAGGTTGCATGCTTACAATACCAGAAGGCAAAAAATTACTATCACTTGATCACTATGGCAATATAATTAGCAATGAATCAAATGATTCACCCTATATCAGTAATGAATCAAACGATTCACCACTATCTCGATGCAGTAATGAATCGAATGATTCAAAACAATATGACTATACAATACCATTCAATACAGACAAATATACAAAGAAGTTATGTAAATATATATCTGGAACATTCTCTTCCACGGAGAGAAACTACCCAATACATGAGCTAGAGACACTAGCCTGTCTCAGAACACTGAAAAAATGGAAACTAGAATTACTGACCAGTCGATTCGAATTACGAACCGACTCTAAATATGTTACAGGTTTTTGGAGATACAAACTGGATGCGGACTTCAATAAAGGAAGACTTATTCGCTGGCAACAACAACTTCACTATTATCGGCCATATCTGAAGTATATCAAATCAACAGCCAATCCACTAGCAAACACTCTTACACGAGAATGGAAGGGATAATCAAGCAAATGCAGCATCAGCAACAGTAGAAGGAAGAGCAGATACGTGCCCTCGAAGTCCAGCTTTCTCAGCGGCGGGGGAATTAGAGTAGATAAGGACCACCATCACCATTCTGCAAAGCACTACTCAACCACAAAATGTTATGCATCAGCAAACTATTCAGCTACCATTTACAGGAAAAAATACACAACCAGAAAAGGACATACCATCATCTACAAAATGGTCAGACATGGTAGAAGAAGACGAGAAAAACGAAGAAGACGAAAGAAAATCAAAGAAAGGAAAATGGTATGTCATTTACGACGGACCTTTTCGAGGACTCTATAACAACTGGGCAATAGTATCTCACCATGTTACGGGATACAACATCAAACACCAATCATTTTCAACCAAAGAAGAAGCAGAACAGGCATTAAAAGAATCATACAAGGCAATTGCTATGAAACAGAAGACAGAGTCAGCCATTCACCAACAAAAATTAGTGATGAAGATACCAAGTATCAGCATTAAGGATATTCCAACCACGAAGCAAAGGGAAGAAATCAATAGACCTACACTTCAAAAATTCCAATAATGCTGGGAAGATCTCCTCAATTACAAGGAAATTCACACTACCATGGGCTTCTATCCAACCTTTAAGGGAGGACCAAGAGCAGTCATCATCACAGATAAAATCGCACCAACAACACTATTTGCTCTCCATCAATACGGATTAATCGACACAATATACACACAGAAGACTTATATCTTCGAAGAATTCCCAACAAAGTTCAAGACAGTCGTAAAAAGGTATCTAGACTCATTCGCCAAGGGTAGAGAAATCTATCTGCGATACACATCCAGCTATCCGGTATTCAACAAGGAAGAAATGGTCGTGCCATCAAAAGCAATCATCAAAATGGGAGTATCTAATGGCAACTATCCAACCAGAGATGAATTAGAGACAACAAGGATACCAGAAGACTATCAAGTCAAATCATTACATTCAGTAAGTCAGGCCCTATATTATCTTAACCCAACAGATAATATTAAAGTCAACTATACCAGCACCAACAAGATCATCATCAGCAATTCTAAAAACCAGATCACAACAGAAGAATGGGGATTCATCACAAATCTAGCTAAGGATTTTATCAATCTAGAAGGGACGTTAGCCCCACTAACGTCGGAACAAAAACAGCAACTTTGTGAATTATTGCAGCTACACGAGGATCACATATGCACCCACTGTGCAGCAGATATGACTATCTCCACTAATAGCAGTAATGGAATCAAAGAAATGTAATCCACCAAGGACAAGAAGACAAAGCATCAAGAATCAAAAGGCAACATCAACTAAAGAAAAGAAGACAATGCATTATGCATCAGGCAAAGGCAAAGTAAAAGAAGAAAATAACTAAAGGAGAAGATGACAAGGATGACACATCAAAAAGAAAAAGACTAAAGAAGTGTGTCTGTTTTTCTCTTTTGATCGATAATGTAGACTGTAGTCCATAACGTGTGTTTGTTTTTCTCTTCCTAAGTGGAGAATGATGTAACTACATATGTAAGCAGGCAACGCTCCTGCATCTATAAATATGTACATCTAAACCTCATAAGGAGGCAGAGTAGCATAAAAGCTTGAGATTTCTCTCTCAAAAGACTAAGTGTAGTCTTGGTGCTTCGGCACAGAGCGTTTGAGATAATACTCTGGAGACGCTCATATCTGCTACCACCTATCCATAAAAAACTATACACCAACCATTAACACCACAAAGAATTCTCCAAAACCATTTTCAACAATCATAAGCAATCAGCCTCCCTGGCACCACACCATCATGGGGACGTTCAGTACCAAGAAGTTGCATCAATCAACCTAAGCAACGATCAGGTATGTCGGATAACCCCAGTAGCAGTAACAGTCACTTTGATTATTTAAGTAAAAATGAGGAAGAAAATTATTTTCTAGATGGAATATTAGATGTCAAGAAAATTAAGGAACAAACTAATTTTACCTTATCAGAAACGCAAAATTTTATTACTAAGTCTTTTTTATCCAAACTATTTGATAGAAAAAATATAATTAAATATGGAAAAATGATAAGAGAAACGGCAGTACCAATAGAACAAACTAAGGGAGATTTCCTAATTCAAATAATAAATAGGGAACAAATTAGGAAAAAATTATCCAAGTTACAACAGGAAGAAAGAAATAAAATAGCTTATATTCACATTAGCACGATACAAATCATTCTAAAATCTACTATGAAAACAGGGATAAGTGCACCTGTAGAACTAGAAATAAGAGATGATCGACTCATCAATAGAGAAGAGAGTATTATTGCAAAAGGAAAAGGAAAAGGAAATCTAGGAGTAGGAATAATCAAATTCGATATTAATCTACAACAAGGAATTAGTTTAACAGATGAGAATCTCGACTCTTCCATTATTATAAAGTATGAATTGAAAAGAAAAAATTCCATGAAAGAAAACAGTAAACCTTTTTCGGTAACATACCAAATAAACTATGCACTGACCAATAGTCATCATAGTCTAGCGTTTAAAGATAAGGAAGCGATCACCATAGAAGAACTATTCAAACTATTAATTCAATTAGAATCCCCTCTAAAAATAATAAAATCAAATTATGATCATCCAAGAATAAGTATAGATGAGAGAAGTTCTGCCATGAGATTAACCGATAAGCAGAAGGAAATGGAGAAAGAAGAAAACAAGGAAATAAAAAACATAACTATACTTCATCAAAATGATAATACTAGTGAAATAAAAAAGTTACAAGAACTAATCGTAGAAATGAGTGAAAAATTGTAAAGATGCCTAACACTCATTACATAAATAAATTGATAGAAGGAATAGATGCAATAGATCTTACATCAGTAGGCGACATTAATACGGTTACGTTAGAATTATCTCACTTCGTATCAGATATTGTAGAAGAACAAATGTCTATCGGAAATTCAGAAACATTAGAGGAAGCCGTATCTAAAACTGAATTAATTACTTATATAATAACTAGTCTAAACAAAATAAAGCAGAAACTAGAAAATAGATAAACAAAAACAACAAAATGAAAATTAACCACCTTTATTTGGGCCATTCCATAAAAGAAAAAGAAAGAATGAGACTTGTTGCAGAAAACAAGAAAAAGAAAGAATGATTAGACTCTTTAGTAGGCTTTTTAAAAATAAAGAAACGATTGAGACTTCTCAAAAAACAAGAAATGAAACACAGAAACTTAAGAATTTGGAACCGTAAAACTATTGATATCAGAGCTAAAATGGGAAAAGACCAAAAAATGCAACTCGCTTCAACCCGACGGGTTCACTTTGACACCTATACCAACAACCCCCGTGCCGGATGGGATAATGCCTTTCCTTTCCTTTCCTAGAGTGGGGGATGAACAACCATGTCTTCAGAAAGTTTTAGCAAAAGAAAGGCAACAAATTGTATTGCTTTAATATAACTGAACCCTGCTTCTCGAGCATTATATATATATGCAGTCCCTGTTATCTGCTGTAAGCCAAAGCAAAACCCATGTTCTACTTGTCTGTATCTCTTCTAAAGGATAAAAGAACCCCCAGCTTCTATCAAGAACCCTCGTTGCTTGATTGATTCTCAATTTACAGAGCTTACAGTGTCTTCTGTCAACAACCCAGAAGATAAAATATATAAAAGTGTGTATAATTTGGCTATTTGCCATCTCATTGCTGCATTATTAGCTGCAGCAACAAACATGTATCACGCTAACATATATGAAAAAATAGGAAAAGAAAACCTCCCAAGAAATCAGCTAATAGTGAAAACCCTATATCCTGATTACCAATCTTAGGTATGAACTATGGTACGTTACAAATTGCAATATACGATGTGATACGACTCTGTAGATTTTTTTTTTTTTGTGTGTAATGAGAAACAAGGTCAGAGCTCTGTGTGAACAATTTCCTCGCTGGTTTCTTCTGAAACTTCAATAATATCAGGTGTGGAAGTGTAGTCCTTGTCGTGGGAGGTTAGGCAGTCGATTGAAGGATGAACTATGCCATATCCAAAGCCTTGAGCAGAGTTGCAGTAAGTCTCTACAGTGCCATCTTTCCCCTCTAAGTTGACGTTGGTCAGGACTATGTTGTTGCAAGGAACCGTGTCACTGCATGAAAACTTCATGGCTTTCGGACTCTTGGAAGTTCCACTGATGTTTCGGTACATGATCTGGCTTATCTCCACAGCTGCTGTCTGGTATATAGAAGGATTATTATTATTGGAGGATAAAAAGAAAAATGCAAGCTTGACTGCAGACATGAGATTACTGAAGCAAAACATAAGGATGAAAATTACCTGGTTTTCACAGGATTTAGGTGAATCACAATAGAATTGGTCAATGATGATGGGGTTGGCGACATTTTCCATCTTCACGTTTTCATAACGTATCCCGCGAACATAACCATGGCCACCCTATAAATGAGATGATAATTGGTTAGTGCCTCGAGGCATTGGAATCAAGGATGCTAACGAAGCATTAGATTGGAGTTTCAATTGCTGCATCTGGATACCTGCCAAGTCTTGATCCTGAGGCCATTGGTTGTCTCCCGGAGCAATGCTGTATCAAGGACAACTTTTGTGACGATGCCAGTGGAGTTGTCCTTTCCAAGGCTCCCGATGCTAAGTAAAGTTGCAGCGAAGACAGATAAAAAATAGCCAGTTAAGCATAAAGCTAACTTCTTTCACCGTTGGCATGGAAAAAATCTATGCAGAAATATTGGATGGTACCTGATGCCATGTCCTGGTCCACAATAGAGTCTCTTCATTTTGATATTGGAGCTACCGTTGACAATTGAGACACAATCATCTCCTGAATGTTGCAAGTGGAATAGAAATGAAATAAAGTTGTCAGGGTATATTTCTATCAACATGCTCATGAGTCATGTGTCTACGAAAGCAAAGGAATTAGCTGCGCTCCCTAGTACGTTTCTAGCTAATTAACTAATGAAGAGTCAGCGTCATATACATGGTTGGTCAAATGGTTGAAGAAGAGCAAACCTGTTCCAATTTTGCTATCTTGGAGAACAACATTAGTGGACTCAGTGATGTGGATCCCGTCTGTGTTGGGGCTGTCTCCAGGAGACGAGATTATCACATCAGAAATGCGGACCGAGTTACACCGGGTAATCACAAAATTCATCTGTTGGCTGTTCTGGACGGTTATCCCTTTAACTTTCACACCATTGCTCGAATCAATAGTTAATGCCTGCAAAAGAACCATCAACCTTCATTTGTTAACCCCTCAGCTAAAATAAAAAGTCTTACAAAATTGGGTACTTCTCAGTCGTAGATTTTTTATTTATTTCACTAAGCGGTTATGAATTTCCATTTGATGCGAGAGAGATGGAGAGAGCCTTACAGTTGGTGCCCCTTTGCAAGGCTGCAGATAACAGAGAAAGAAAACTGGGTTAAGATTACTACATTTGGTTGGTCAAACTGAATGAAAAAGGAAACAAAGGAGCCAAAAATTGAGAAGTAATGCTAGTAGTTAGTGGATCACTAGACTTACATTTGACTTGTTCTTCTTACAAGAAGCAGCCCACCACTTGCTGCCAGAGCCATCAATGACTCCATTCCCTTGAAAGATAATTCCATTCACCTTACTGAAATGTAGCCATAATCTTGCATAATTTGGATCCCAGCTTGCAGGTTCATCAGGTGCCACTATTGTTCCATCAATCTGCAAATCATAGTGCAAGTATGAAAACACTTAATCACGATGTTCATGCAGTTACGACTTAGCAACTTTGACATCAAACTCCCAATTTCACGCGTAACAATCCAGAGATGCAACCCAACAATAGTAGTTTGTCTGAATGAGCATCCAAAAGAAAATTACCTGAATGATCAGCTTATCGACACAAGGTCCTTTAAATTTCGTCGCATTAACTTTATACTGGCGCCCTGGAGGGACCAAGAAGACTGCTTTTGTTGTGTTGCACACTGTGCTCCAAGCATTCACAAAGGCCTGGTGATGAGGAAACAGAACACATTCAACTAGGAACACTGTCAACACAAGGAACGCAGAAATCGGTTCATTTTTTGACTGAACTGGACCATTTTTTATCCAGTCTCCCTCATTGAGTAATGTCTTATTAGTAAATCAGATAAAAAAAATATGGATCACAGCTGATGACCACCACCCTTCATATTCAAAACCATCGGCTGTTCATAAGCATTCAAATGGAGATATAGAGATAAAGAGTGACATCGGAAGACAACGAAACAAGAACACTTCAAGAATAATCGAGAAATACGAAACAGACCTTAGTGTCATCAGAAACTCCATCTCCAACAGCGCCAAAGCTGTCTACGTTCACAAGAACTTTGCCACCGCGTTCGCTTGTCCATGAAGGTACGTCAAAACCTTCCAGCCCTTCTTCAATGTCAACGGTTTCAAGATCCTCAAGCATACCAAGGTTGTCATAAACCATGTTTCCTGCAACTCCATGGCCCACAATCAGCAATCCAAGAAAAGAAATGAAGAATATCCGGTCCATGATATTTTTTGTCTTCTTCTGTCTGGTACAAGGAAGTTGATTGATTTGCATAATTCCAGATGAAAAACACCTGGTTTCAATTTATATGGATATGCAAGTGGTTTCGTGGCATAATGGCTTGGCTTGAAAGTACATGAAGAACCAACATTTTCTACATGCCCGTACTTAAAGTACAAGGGAAATGCATTTTTAAAACTTCTTTGCTTTACTCTTCAACCAGTAAAAAGAGACCAGTCGACTAGTACTTAGATTCTGCTTTTGGCTCCTCCCCAGTTATCCATTTAAGGCAAAATATAAAAATACATTCCCAGTTGTGGTTCGGAATAGAAGCACAGTCTCAACTGACATTGACAGGTCAATTGCTCCAATGAGACCCAACAGGCCACCGCAATAGCATGTCTCAAGCAAAAGCAACCTTTTTGCTTTTCCCGTGTCAGATATACACACAGACACACAAGAAATATAATTTACTCACAGGGAAGGGAGGGTCCAGCTTAATGAAAAGACAGTTGAAGTATGCAGGGAGAAGATCCAGGACCCTGAAGGCTAACTAACTGCTGACAGCCAACTTGTTCTCAGTAGATGATTGATCGTCATATATTAATCTCGACAGCAGCCATTGACCTCAAGAAAACTGCGACCAGACGTCTGCATTGTCATCATCGTCCTTTTACCAGTTTCTCTTATCTTCATTGACAAATCATATTCCCAGTTTCAGCGTAGTAGTTAGATACCTGCAAGATCCAACAGGACCTTTGCTTCCCTTCTTTCCACCATTTAATTCTTATGGTTGTTGCAGTTTTGCAGCAATGAACTCTAGAACACACAATCACCATTTTCCAGGAGCCTGTTGCACAAACTCCTCCACTTCACTCAACATACCTGCACACCCCAATAGATCCACCATACAGGAGGAATGCTGTCTATCAGGAGATATCCCGTACAGGCGCCAGCGCTTTCAAATATCATCTCTTTAAGCATCTATAGCCCCTACCTTCCCCTTCCATTGTGAACATATCCACTTATCATCGCTGTGCAACAGATTACATTCGACGAGGGAAGTTGATCAAAACACTTTTCCAGGGAATTTAGCGGAACCAGCCCTTGAGTATGCATCAATCAAGGAGGAAGAGACAGCAACATGAGTTTCAAAACCTAGTTTTCAGTGCACCAAACTGCAGCTGGCCAAGCTCGAGAACTGGAAGGTGATAAAGCTTTCAGCACTGTGGAAAGGGAGACCTCATCAAGAACAGTTCCTTCATCTATCATCAAACCAAACATCTCACTAGCATCCTCAGACAACGCCACAGTGAAGCAAATAGGTCATCAGTGAGTTCAACACTCCCAAGTTTAACACATTCATAAACAGACACTGAGCTCTCAATATCCCTGCATTTCCCGTACATATCGATCAACCCAGATTGAACATGGCCACTTCCCACAGGAAAACTGACCTGTAAGACCCAGGAATGAAATTGCTTCCCAAGCAGAATATCAGCAGTTTTGCTGGCGAAATTAAAGAGCCCAAAGAACGAACAGAGGGCCTCTTCCCACAAAATTGCATTGCGTTGAACAATTCAACGGCTTCAAGCACCGATCTCTCATTTTCAAAAGGTGCCAGCATTGAATTCCTTGACAAAACATCTTGAGCATGAATAACTTCAAAGATCTCTTGGTATCAGACATATGTCTACAAGCCAAGTAAAAATCCACAAAAGCATTAGCAACGAAAATGTTTGATTCTTTCCATCCAGGCTTGATCACATGGCAATGCATCTTCTTCCCTTTGTTGGTAAACCTCTCCTCGCAACATCCGCAAATCAAATAGCTAAACTTAACCCCGTTTTCTCCAACCCTTCTAGTTTCATCCTATTATACAGTTTGAACACCAACTCATCGGATCTACCCAGTTCAGAGATCCAACGTAAAACCAAATTCCAAGTGGCTACGTTTCTCACAGGCAATTCATGAAACGACTGTAAAGCTAGATTATCAAGTCCTGGATCCATATAAAGATCAACCAGTGAGCTCCCAACAAAAACATTACAACAGAACACGCGCTTAACCTCCCTTCAGTGGACTTGAATCCCTTCCAGGAAAACCCCCGCATCATCACCACATACTCAACACAGAGCAAACCGTCGATTCATTCTCTCTGATACCATGGGAAGCCACCTCGTGGTAAAACCACAAAGCATGCTGTATAACTCCATATTTACATGACCCGAAACCAGCATATTATAAGAGACAAGTACAACAAACTGACCGGATTTTATCAAGCTATCAATTTTCTTGTCATACTGAGTGAGAGAGAGACCGGCTCCGGATTCAGATGAAAAAGAGGAGAGATTTAACGAAGGAAACTATCTCATATTTTGCATTTTCTATTATTACGATGGTGAGGTAACAGAGCCGCTTTTGCTTGGCACCTCAATATGACAGTACAACAACCCACACAAGCTTGGGTAAGAGATTAGAGTGATCTTTACCAATGGGTACACATTATTAACATGTTGATCCTATAGCCTCCACAACAGCCGTCACAAACTGCATCTGGGTTTCCTCATCAATTCTCGAGAAAAGTGGAACGTGAACAAAAAGAGCTATGTGGCCCTTCTGCTGGGCGAACCGCAGGGAGTGATAGTACACGTAGTTGCAGACGAATCGGCCAGCATCGTCGGATATGGTCACGTCGAAGCCTTTCTTCTTCAGTAACTTCAGGATTTCGTCGATGGAGCAACACGTCTTCACCAAACCAAAAGGATAGGAGCAAGTTTAGAAGGGGAAAAACACAGACTAGTAGTAGCATGAACTTAAAAAGTATGGTTCTTGGGATAGGGATAGTCAATTAATTACCTCTCTTGCAGAGGTAGTGCCTCCATCTTCCAGGATAATAGGGCAATTCTGAGTAAAAGCCAGGAAAAATTATGCATCAGTTGTGTAGAAATTGATATTATAAGAGACACAGACAGAGGGAACACAACACTAAAACAGTCTTGTACCTGAGGTTGCCATCCCATCTCGTCTGGACATCGAAATGTGGCTTCGTTCACTGCCTGTCGCTCAATGGCAAACTTCATTGCCCCACTGTTCACTCCTAAGTGAAGCTGCAGAAGAGATCATTAAGAAAAGATGTTGAGCATTACTTTTCCTAAACAACTCCAGAGAGAAAGCATTGGCGAAGAGCATACGCAGTACAGACCCACACAACAACTGGCTCATTCTTTCCAGCATTTGCAGCAGTAGTTACAGTGCTCGATTCGAGGGTCTGGTACAGCATGTCTCGGGCTCCAACTCCAGCAGTCTCAAGAACCGTGCAGCTCCCTAGTGTAACGCCAGCAGGCAATCCTCGCTTCCCCACGTAATCCTCGAGCCTATTCACAATGGTCTCGGTGGGATTCAGGGCAACGCCTTGGAATTTCTTAAACCCAGTTACGTGAATCACCACAGACTTTGGTCCTTCGGATCCCATCTCCTTGTGGACTAGAAGAGCACAGTTACCAATTTTTTACTGACGGTAGGGGTAGCAGCTCAGCCTAATAAATCAGAGACACAAACAAGAAATTTCATTTGGGAAAGAATATTAACAAGAGCAACATCCTAGCTCGGCCAAAGAATCACTGGGAGGAAACCCCATGTAAGATGCTGCTTCCAGTAATAGGAACCACTAGTCCAGAAATCATCCTACTTAGTTGCTATTCAAGCTCAACAGTCAACAGGTCAATGTTATGAACAACCGACATCAACAATCATCAAGTACTCGAAGATGTACCCGATCACAATTCAACTCGTTTCCTACTATATTCACAGGCAGAATTCAACTCCTAAATCAGAAGACCAATATTTTCCTTGTTCCTTCCAGCAAAAAGAAGACAAACACACCGCTGGAAACCAGAAATCAAGTACAGAATCAGGAGAGCTCTAGAAAGAAAACCCAGGAACCTACCTCAAAAAGGATCCAACTTCACCGCGGAATTCAGCGAGAAATGAGAACCCTTCTGGACGGAAGGAAAAAGAAGATAGCAGTAGGAGAGAGCCAAATCCAACTTTAAACTCGAGCCCTCAAATGGCGAAAGAGAAGAAGACCAGCACGCGCGCAGCTACGATCGACCAAGACGCGGTACAAAAAGCAAGGAGGAAGGAAGGAAGGGAGGAAGTCTTCTTCTTGAGTCCGAGTCTCTCTGTCACGCACAAACTCAAGTAGAACCAGGCCGGGCTCGATTGTCACGGTATCCTTGGTGCCTGCTGCTCCTGTGTCTAGTTTTTTTTTTTTGTCTTCACTCCTTCCTCCTTGGCGCTTTCTGGAATCCACAAACTCCTTTCTTCCGGCCAAACACGAGTTATTTGCCCTTAAATAAAAGAGGGAAAGGACAAACCGTTTCCCAATCCCTTCACCGTTCCGTGAAACCACCTCACAGCAATTGAATAACACGTTTCTGGGTTGCGTATTAGCTTCTTCCGCCAAATTCCATCGTTTCTTCCCTCAAAAGACCTTCTGATTTCTCCAATAAAAATAGTAAAATTCTTATGCCTGCCTGGATTGTGATTGATCACTGAGCGGTGGTGTACTGTAGTGTAGACTTACACTGCTGCATGGGGCTGGTGGAGCAACGTGGCTGAATCTGATTAGTTTAGGCTCCATATGAATTATTTTTACCGGTGGTGTAGGAGTGCATAGGGTTGGAAATTCAGTCGAAGATAGAACGGAAATTTGTCAAATATCCCTTTCGTATCGTATTTATGTTTGGTTTGGTTCAGTTCGATTAAACCAAGTCGAATTTCTTGTAATTCGAACCAAAAGAGAAATTTCATTCGGGCTCCAATGGTGGCAAGCCTCGTGAGAATGAGGACAATGGTGATTGTGGTGAGTATTGGGAGAGGAGCGAGGACTAAGAACGATGGGTTGATGATTCGCCTTTGTCAGCCTGATGGCAACAGGGGAAAATGAGTTGGGAAACACCACATTTAGGAATTAGGAGTTGGAAATTGATATTCAAACTAGATTAGGCCCGGCCTCTTGGCCGGGAGAGTTTGATTTTCATGTGTATGTGTAGTACACATTGAGGTATAATTTTTTTTTATTTTTATGGTTCATGTTGTTGGGGATTGAAATAACTATTTAATTTGGTAAGTTCTCCATGAATAATATAGTAAAGTATTTAATGTATTTGACTAATGAAGTTTAAAAAATGACAAACAATGTCCAACTACACTAACATAAATACATATTTTCAAACAAAGTCATATCCATATAAAAATGTCAAAGAAGAACAATGATAAGAGTTGTTTACATCACACATACATAATCAATCTTCAGTATACAATAATTTTTTTTCCTTTTCCATTGACTTTCGTGTATTCAATGATATAATGAAACAAAGTATATGTTTAGAGTGTCCTTAAGAATAAACAAACTAACTGACACAATCATGGTTTCATTGACTTTAGTGTATTCAATGATATAATGAAACAAAACATGCAGATCTCCAGTTGGCAAGTTTAACTAATAGAGCAACACACAAAAAGCTAAATCAAAGTGAAAAGAAGGCAAAAACTAAAATCAACATACCTAACATTTTGGGGGAAATCCACAACTATAAAAGTCATTGTATGAACACTTGATAATGATTTGAATATTTGTGATATGTGAGTAGTGAAAGTTAATAAAAGTCATTGTAGCTCTTACTCAAGTTAGAAAGACTTTGATTTAATGGTAAGTAAACAATGATATGTAGTGCTTAAGAGGGAAGATGAGACCTTACATTGTTTATTAATATGCATCTTAGTTTCATAAATTTTACATCATTAAAAATTTATGTGCTGAATAGAAACCCATCCAAGTTTGGAGCCATTGTCAAATGTAAGTTATGAGGCAAATGAAAAGTCTCAAGCATCCACATGTTTGAAAAATAAATCTATATTATCAAACATAAAATCATATCTTGCATCAGAAAAAAGAACAAAAAAGTAGTAATTCGATAATCAATATAGGAATCAATATGGACAAAATATCTAACCAAGAGAAGAGGAAGCGAAAAAACACAAATTGTTGTGTAATGATTCCGCTCACGATATTTTAAAGTGAAAAATATCATAAAAATTATTAACCAATAAAAGGGAATGGTAAATGGGAAAATGCATCAATTTGAACCTAAAATGAGAGGATTTAATATCCTACACCATCATATATAATTATATATTATATCCTAGAACATCATAAAAAAATCTATCTAAATGAAAAAGTATACTAAATTGAATTCAATGTAAAAGTAACGATGAAGATAGATATTATATCCACCTAAGGAATAATAAAGTAAGCCATGTTTCTTAGAGACCTCTCTCGATAGAACCACTCTATTATAAAAACCATTTCGTCAAAGCAATTGCATCATATAGAGTTTTTAACTTAAATTTGAAGTGCTTATAATTAGCTATTTCAGCTCATGAATGAATTAATTATATCATTTGGTAAAAGAAAATAATTTATAAACTTGAGAGTTATTTCGTAGTATGAAAGTGTTTTAGAACCGTTATTTTATTCATTTATTATTAAAATTGCTATTTTTATTATAATGTCTAAGCATGTCTAGGCGAGCTAGGAGATAGAGAAATGCCCAATGACCGTCGTACGCCTAACGTGTTGCTGAACCTCAATAATTAAAGCAAACTTTGAGTGCATCTTATAAATTTGATCACTTCTATTTTGGTATAATTGTTTACATCATGAAAGTGATCAATCAAAGAGTCTTTCTTTAAGATTTTGATAAGATGTCCTCTATTGCACAATTAGTATGACTAAATTGTAATAAGATAATCATGTATTGAAATTTGAATCGATAGCGCAAAAGATTGTACTAACTCAAGTAGAGTTTTAGATGCTCAGTACTTCATATTCGCATGTAGATAGCTATTTCGAAAAGTTCGAATATTGATTGAGTTTGTTGAACTTTACCTAACGAAACTATGATATCAATCGCAAGATATTATGCTTTTTGGAGAAATTGAGAGAATATGTTGGTGACATCAAACCTAACATGGATACCATTGAATTTAAGTGATAAGCAACATTTATGGTTAATATATTAGACATAAAGAATATATTTAGCATTCTCATAAGTTGGTAAGAAGTGAATAATTAGGAATTGAAAGCTAGAAACAAAGTTGATTTAATAAATAACTGCAAATGATATTGTGAAAAGAAAACAAATGCTTAGAGCATGGCTAGGCATGAGAGTGCTACATTAAACTCTCTAAGAGAAAGCAAGTAATCATTAATAGTTAGCTGTGGATATTGAAATAGTTAATTATGATGAATACTATATACTGGTGATTAATACTTGGACCTTAGCTTGAACATTGCATCATGCTGATAAAAATTATTTCATTAACTACATTATTGAAATAAGGGGTCGTATGGAAGTTTTGATTGTTTTTTTTAGATTGTTAAAATAAATACATTTTTCATAATACAATACATATATTTTTATTTTTGTTCATACACAATTGTGAATTATTTGCTTGATTTGACTAAACTATCATTCAAATTGAATGATTAAACAATTTCGAATTTTAGCATAGACTGTCGAGATAATTGGTATAGGTGTTTGTCATGTTTATTTTTCTTGAAATGTATGGTAACAATGTTCTTATGCCGTCATTGAACACTTCATTCAACATTTCAATTCAATGCACAATATTCAAGCAAATGATATTTGTGTTGAGATTTTAAGATTATCTTTCATTTATAAGTTAGAAAAAATTATAAATTAATTATTAAAATATGAAAATAGAAGTATCAAACTCCACAAAATACTTGCAGGAGACTTAGCGGGCTAACTAACCATGATAGAAAAGTACTTTGTTTTTCATAATTTTAACTTACTCTATGTTTTTGTATTAATAAAGTACAACAATTGTGTCTAGTCTAATTGGTTACAATTCTTGTCTTTGTTGGAAGAGATCATGGTTCAAATCCTAGCATTGATATATTTGATAGGAAATAAAAAATTGATTGTGTAGACAAAAATACCCTTCCTACTTTCACTCTCGTTGTAGGAAATTTGAAATGGAGCAAATCAAACTCTTTAAAATGTAATAGCATGGGCCCCGGCCATTTGGCCGGAGAAAGGTGATGTATGAAATTTGATAATGTAATAGGATGTATAGTTTTTTTTGGAAACACGTGATAAAAATAGTGAATTTTAGTAGGAAAGAGACATGAATGATGCAACGAATCAAAAATCAGCCTTATGAACCAAAATCAAGTACCTGTTACCTTGTGAAACAATATTGTTTATGGTAATATGATGAGGTGGAGTAAGTATAAAAACCGAATTCCAGAAAATCGAATAAAAAATCGCCTATCCTGCCGGTTTTCGGGAAATGAGCATCTCACAATCGTTGCTAGCTTTTACTCGGCCGTTGGCCAATTAATTTGCTTTATAAAAAGGGTATTTTTGTCTACACAATCAATTTTTTATTTCATATAAAAATATATCAATGCTAGGACTTAGTGGGCTAACTAACCATGATAGAAAAGTACTTTGTTTTTCTTAATTTTAACTTACTATATGTTTTTTGTATTAATAAAGTACAACAATTGTGTCTAGTCTAATTGGTTACAATTCTTGTCTTTGTTGGAAGAGATCATGGTTCAAATCCTAGCATTGATATCTTTTTATATGAAATAAAAAATTGATTGTGTAGACAAAAATACCCTTCCTACTTTCACTCTCGTTGTAGGAAATTTGAAATGGAGCAAATCAAACTCTTTAAAATGTACTAGCCTATAGCCCGGCCCGTTGGCCGCATTTGTTTAAGGAAATGGAGTTACAATATCTATAATGATAGTGTCGAGAAATGAGTCTTGTTTTATATTATCATAAGATTGTTGCAATTTTGCAATTCGTTGAAGACGAACATGTAATATGAATGAACATTCATAATAAGTTAGAAATACATTTGAAGATTAGCTAATCACAATAAAAATACTTACATGAAATTTTACTAATCACAAATCTAATCTAGTTGAGTATTACGACAAATAACATGCAAGTCCAAAATAAGAAAACTTAATACATTGTCTCATTGTTCATGACATGGTACTCAATTCAACAAAGGCAAAATAATTTCACCAACACAAGTTCACAATAACCAAATGCATCGTTCCAGGGACCGACTGTGACCATGACTTCAAATGTCTGTTCTCCAAGCATGTTCAGAAGGGCCATATAGTCAGCATTGACAACATCTGCATGACTGGATACAGATTCAACAATCGTTCGTAACTGTGATGACGGGAAGACGATGTCAACACCAATGAATTCGTCCTCAATTGTGAGGTGGACGAAATGGATTCTGGATGCAAGGGACCAGGACGTCGTCAAATTCGTTACACATCCGGATAACAAAAAAGAGGTTCCCTGATGTAAACACAGAAACGAATATTGTCAAAGCAAATCGATAAAATGCAGCATGCCACAAAAGGTGTACGATTAAAAAGAAATTTATTTGTTTAGTTACCTGATTTTCGACATCCACTTGCAACATAATGAGATCGATGGTGTCGGCACGCTCACAAATTTCAAGAGCATCATCATATTGCAGATTAGCAATAAAACCATGGGGAAGCCTATATATTGGACTGTAAGTTTTGGCATTAAGT